AACTCCAGGATACAGCACCAAGAACAGAGCTGCCAGACCTCAACACTCTGCCAATGACACTGGGCAGAAACTGAAGTCCCCCAAATGGACCTGATCCTGACTGGCCATCAAGAAATGTTCATCTCTTTTATTGGGAGTAGTGAGCATTGTATGCGTAGCATGTGCATTCTGGGTTTCGGTAATTGTTAATAAATAGAGGTTACATAGGATATTACTGTGTAAGGCTCTTTCACTGGTAAAAGACACCATAAACCTGCAAAAGATTAAGCCCTGACTTGACAGGGAAAGGGTGTTTGCTCTGAGTCCACATGGAAAGGGTGTTTGCCCGAAGCAGGAGTAGAGCCTGGAGCCCTAGGAACTAGGAAAGGGTGGGTGCCTAAATTAAGAGGATTATGCCTTGAGCCCTAGGAACTGAGTAAAGGTGGGTGCGCTAGAGCAGAGGTTCTCAACTGGGGTCCGTGAGACCTTTCAAGGGGGCCACAGGGCCTAGCGGCTGAAGCCCCGATCCCTGGCACCCTCCCCTCCCCCCGTGGGGCTGAAGGCCCAATCTCTGGGGCCCCCTCCCCCACAGGGCTGAAGCCTTGATCTCCAGCGCCTGCCCCCCACCCTGCAGGGCTGAAACCAGGGGAGGCGGGGGGCTGAAGCTCCGATCCTAGGCGCCCCCACGGGGCTGAAGCAGGGAGGCACGGGGCTGAATCCTGGAGCCCCTAGCCCTTGTGCTCCCTGTGGGGCAGAAGCCCTGAGCACATGGAAGAGTTGGGGAAATGGAGGGCATTGCCTCCCCACAAACTACAGCTCAAGATCAAGGCAGTCCCGGAGGCAGTTCCACACCTTCCCCGAGTCCCCCTCGTCTCCTCTCCCCGCCCCCTGACCAGGCCGGAGGCGGGAACCCGCAGCCGGGCAGTGCGGGACAGATGCTGCTCTAGCTGGTGCCATGGAGCAGGCAGCTTCAGCATTCCTTCCTCTCCTGCTGGTGCCCCAGGTTGAAGCTGCTCCTCAGCTTCCAGTCCCCTTTGCTCCCACAGAGACAGCTGGTAAGAGCCCCCTGGGTGGGGAGACCCACCTCCATGGCTGGCAGACCCCTCCGGGACAAGGGACCACAGGGAAGTCCTCCCAGCACACAGCCCCTAATACCCATCTCCCTATACCCTGAGCTACACCCTCCCTGCACCCTGAGTTATCTCCTGTCTGCATGCAGCCCCAGTACCCTTCTCCCTGCACCCTGAGCTACTCCCTGTCTGCACAGCCCCAGTACCCCTTTCCCTGCACCCTGACCTACCCCCTGCCTGCACACAGCCCCAGCTACCCCCTCCCTGCTAGTTGAGCTACCCACTGCATGCACATAGCCCCTAGCGACCACCTCCCTGCACCCTAAGCTGTTTTTAAACTTTTTGAGCTAAGCCCCCCACCTTTGAGTTATAATTTTTGGTTGTGTGGCCCTCCCCGAACCCAGACAGGCTGGGTGGCCTGCTGAGGTGAGTCAGGGGGTGGGGGTGATGCTCCCTCCCTAGACCCTGCTATGCGGAGCTGGCTCGAGCCCTGCTGGCCCCTGCCCCCCCAAAATAGAAATCAAACTACGCCTATGCCCAAGGCCCCTGCCCCGAGGCCCCCCCACTTCCAGGCCCTGAAGTTTTTAATAGCATGTCAAGGGGGGCTTCAGAGAGAAAAAGGTTGAGAACCCTTACTCTAGAGTGAGAGAGTAACAGAGAATTTTGTGAGGGTAACATAGCATGTCTGACCCTCTTAAGTTTATCCTTAACTCTGAATTTCCTGGGTTTAACACACATATTTCTGGGACAATTACAACAGCCCAACAATTACAAGGTTAAGTTACTCAACCTCAACTCCAGGTTAACACTTTTTAAGCTATTTGCAGTGTTACTATAGTCGTGTTAGTCCCAGGATAGGAGAGGGACAAGGGGAGTGAAGTAATATCTTTTATTGGATCAACTTCTCTTGGTGAAAGAGGCAAGCTTTCAAGCTCCATAGAGCTCCTTCTTCAGTTCAGTTTTTATCTGGACATGTTAATTGAAGCAGTCTATATTGTGACAAAATAGAATGTTAATTCAAATATATTAAGAAATATTAATATTTAATTTCAATTTTTAAGGAACCATATATTACAATATTAAATTTATATTTCCAAATATAAATAATACAGATTAGTTTAATATCATAATATGAGGCAGACTTGAAAAATTCAGTCTAAAGCTATACTACTAAGATCAGCAAGTGCAACCAGAGCATGAAAAGCAACTTATTATGGGAAAAGGCCAGGAGAAGGAAAAGACTGTTTGCAATGGCAGTTGTAGATCTAGGTCAATGAAAGTCAGTAAGGGGTAGAAATGTTCAAGACTTACCTTCAGGCTGAGTCGCCACCTTCAGTGGTACTGAGCTCTCTCCAGGGCCATGTTTGTTTTGAGCCACAACTCTGAAAACATACACGGTCTCTGGCATCAGGTTTTGGATTGTCACTTGCATCTCTCCAGGACGACTTGTATTTTCAACACGTTCCCTTTAGGAAAGAAAAGATTTGGGCAGGAACGCAAAAGTGAAGATTTATCATTGATTACTAAAAGGATAGTTTGTACATATCTAACAAGTAATTGATATGATTAATTATATTACATTGATTACACATTAATGTTAATATGCCAAAAGCACTTAAGACAAACAGCTTCCAAGTTCTGCAGCTTCATTTTGAACAAACATAGCAAAGAAAAAAAGTTACACAACACCACAATGAGGGGAGGAGGAGGGCACTGTTTTGTTGGATTGTCTTATTCTTCATAACCAGATAATAATTCAACTTGAAAATTTGTCATAGAAGTCCAAAGCCCTGGGAGCAAAATTAAGAACTGTTTAAATTGTTTTGGTTATTAATTCAGAGGTTTTTTTTTTAAAGCATCAGTTTACGATTCTCTTTTGAGCTCAAACTTGATTTAGTTCATTCTGATATTTGGACATTTTTTGTAAAATGTTAAGGCTATGTTTGCAGTGTTGTCACTTTCACCAACAGAAGTTGGTCCAGTGAAAGATATGACCTCACCCACCTTGTCTCTGAGAAACAGTACGGCACATAATACCAAGCAGTGATCTTAGACGACCCTTACAATACCTGGCACTAAGAGTCTAGTTGTGGCCAATAGTGTATGTTTAAGTTTAAGATGGAGACTCAATCCTTAACTTTTAAAATTTAACAGATTTTTTCAGTTCATGTCACAACCTCGAAGTAAAACTTCATCCATTTTGATCAGCCCAGCAGCTTGAAAGTTCACATAAGGAAAAGTACTTTGCCAAACTAGACTGAAATGTAGTTGGCTTTTCTGAGTTTAGCTATAGCTATATATTTGAAAAGCGACATCACTGGGGACACTGACAGTGGGAAGAGCCCATAATCAGACTGTACAACTAGTTTTCCATCTGCTCTAAAACAATTTTATTCAGTCCACGTGGGACCTGAAATGCATAAAGATGTGAGTGGCAGCCTTTAAAACTTATCCAAACTGGCTCAGAGGAGGTAGGTCTATATTATAGTTAATGTGAGGGATGTGTCGAAAGGATTCTTTAGGCACCATCCACACAAACCATTGTTTATAATCACACACTTGAAAATCACTTGCTCCTGATCTTTTAAAATTTCATTTATTTTGACTGCTGTGGATGTGGTGTACGTTAGATAGACTTCAAGAGAATTTTTAATATTTTGCTGGAATTCCTTTTTAATTTTTTTTTGGTGACTGGCAAAAGATGCAATACAGTTTAAATCCAGTATGAGGTGTTGGGATTTGTTACAGACCAGCAGATGGAACTAGAGAATAGGATGAGTAACTCCCTAAAACAACACCTATCAGCAACAAGTGGGGGGGAAAACTCCAGGTAGAGGGGACTTCAATTTGGGAGACGAACGGTGAAGGCCTCATGTAGTCAGTAATAAAACATCTTTAGACTTTTCTAAAAATTATAAATGATAATTTTCTAACAAAAAAGATGTTGCACCAAACATGAAATAACTCTACTTTGGACATCTTTATGACTGATAAAGATGAATTAATCACTGGACTGGAAGTTGGTAATTGCCTGGGAACCAATGATCATGAGCTGATGACATTCAATATGGGCAAATAGAGGATACCTTCAATCAGTAATATATATACTTGCTGCTTCAAAAGGGCTAGTTTCTCAAAGTTGAGAAAATGATTGGGAGGAAAAATTTAGACAGAAAAATGAGAGTGCAAATTGGGAGTTTTTAAAGAAGAGTTTATTAGATGATCAAAAAGCCTCAATTTCAAAATCAAGAAAGAGAACAAATTTGGTTAAAAGCCCAGCCACATTTAGTGGAAAAGTGAAGGAAACAATTAGAAGTTAAAAAAAAAAAAAGCAATATATAAGAAATGGAAAACGGTAGATGTAGAGATAGCAGTTGATATAAATTAGAAGTTCTGAAGTGCAGAAAACTGATAAGAGAAGCTACAGACACCATAGCTGGCAGGGCTACGGACAACAAAGAGGGTTTTTTTGTTTTTGTTTTGTTTTAAAGTATATTAGGAACAAAAGAAATTAGATCAATGTTACAGGACTATTACTAGACGGAGATTGTGATGAGGTGTGCTCCCCACACTGGCCCTGCAATAGCTGAATTAGGCCAGGTGGGCCCGATCAGTTGGAGGCAGCTAATCTGAGAGACGCTCACCTGTGAGGGAGCAGCGGGGCTTCCAGAAAACACAGGAAACTGGAAGCAAAGGGGACTGCAGGGAAGGAGTCTGCAGTCACTCCCTGGGAAAAAGGGGGTGGGGCAGCAGAGATGAGTTATCTAAATTACTCCCTGGGAGGAGGGAGTGAAGAGACTGGCAAACCCAAAGGAGTGGGAAGAGCCAGGAGGGTATGGAAGAAGCTCAGTGAAAGGCAGCAAGGTGCAGGGAATGGATCTTGGCTGCTGTGTAGAGGGTTCCTGAGCTGGAACCCTGAGTAGAGAGTGGGCCTGGGTTCCCCTGCCAGCCACTTGAGGAGTGGCACTGTAACACAGTGAAGAAGAAGACTGCCTGAGACTGCTGGAGAGCAGGAACTTTGATACACTCCTCCTCACCTTCCTCTCTCCCCCCGCTCCCCCAAGAAAGGGAAACCACAATAGTGACCTGAGTCACAAAGAGGGCTGAGTCACAAAGAGGACAGCTGTGGCTCCTGAGAGCAAGAGAGGGGCTTCAGAGGAGAAACTGACAGGGTGTAACCGCTGGAAGGGGCATCAGCCTGACTTAGCTAATCCCCAGAACCACCAGGAGGCAGCACCAACCAGCAGTGAGTACAGCAACCCCATTACAGAGATAATGAAATTGTTAATAATGTTGCAAAAAGGCAAACATGTTCAATAAATATTTCTCTTTTGTATTTGGAAAGAAGTAGGATGATGAAATACTTTCCAGTCCAGTAGTAAGTGAGGAAGTTGGACATCATCTACTAGTGAGGATTATTTTATAATCAGCCAGCCCAGATAACTTCCACCCAAGAGCTGTAAAAGAGTTGAACACAGAATGCAGGTCACACGCACAGAAGGGAGGACTGTATTCTGGAAAGTAGTGATTCCAAAGGATTTAGCAGGCAGAGTGGACAAACAAGTGAACTTGAGCTGCCAGAGTGGTGCTATGGCAAAAATGACTAATGCAATCCTTGGATGTATAAACTGGGGAGTAGGAGTAGGGAGGTGACTTTCTCTCTCTATACAGCATTGGTGAACAGATCTAGTATCCACATTTTAAAAAGGATGTTGAAAAATTGGAGAGGGAGCAGAAAAAAGCCACAAAACTGATTACAGGGCTGGAGAAAATGCCTTACAGTGCGAGATTTAGCTAAATCTTCTTCTTTTATCAAAAACGAGATTAAGAGGTGACTTGATTTAAGTACCTTCATGGGGTTCTAATGGGTTCTACAGAGCGCTTTAATATAGTAGAGCAGAGATGGGCAAACTACAGCCTGCGGGCCACTTCCGGCCCGCGGGACCCTCCTGCCCAGCCCCTGAGTTCCTGGCCCAGGAGGCTAGCCCCCGGCCCCTCCCTTGCAGCCTCAGCTAATGGCGCAATGCTTTGGGCAGCGGGGCTGCAAGCTCTTGCTGGGTAGCGTAGCTGCAGAGCTGAAGCCTGATCTGGCACTCTGTGCTGCGCGGTGGTGTGGCTGGCTCCTGCCGGGGGGCACAGCTGCCTGTCCTGGTGCTGTGGGTGACACGGCTGTAGCACCGCCAGACACCGGTGCTCCAGGCAGTGCGGTAAGGGGGCAGAGAGTGGGGATTGGATAGTGGGCAGCGGAGTTCGGAGTGGTGGTCAGGGGCAGGGGGTGTGGATAGGGGTCGGGGCGGTCAGAGGGCTGGGAACAGTGGGGTTGAATAGAGGCAGGGGTCCCGGAGGGGCAGTCAGGAAGGAGAGGGGTGTTGGATGGGGCGGCAGGGGGCAGTCAGGGGCAGGGGTTCCGGGGGCGGTCAGGAATGAGAGGAGGGGTTGGATGGGGTAGCGGGGGGCAGTTGGGGTAGGGGGGCTGGGGGCAGTCAGGGAACGGGGGGGCCAGATGGGGCAGGAGTCCGGGGGGGGCGCGTCAGGGGGCAAGAAGCAGGGGGGCTCGGATAGGGGGCGGGGGCTGGGCCACGCCTGGCTGTATGGGGAGGCACAGCCTCCGCTAACCGGCCCTCCATACAATTTTGGAAATTCGATGTGGTCCTCAGGCCAAAAAGTTTGCCCACTCCTATAGTGGGAAAAGGCTGAACAAGAACCAATGGCTGGAAACTTAAGCCAGACAAATCCAAATTAGAAATTAGGCACATTTTTAAATGGCAAGATTGATTAACCACTGGAACAAATTACCAAGGAGAATGATAAATCTCCATCTCGTTATCCTCAAATCAAGACTGGATGCCTTTCTGGAAGATATGCTTAAGCCTAGCACATGTTATGCTTTAGTCACACATCATTATTGAGCTCAATACTGGGTAATTGGCCTGTTGATACACAGGAGGTAAAACTGGCTGATCAGACCTTTCTGAACATAAGCTCTAGGAAGTGTCACCTGTGTTATCAAAGGAGAACTGATCTTATGTTTATTACTGTTAAAGCAACAAATAATAGACAGTGAAGTAATTTTTAAAAGAGATGTTTTGTAGGAGACCAGGCTAAGGTGCCACATTACCCTGTCCAGAGGATCTGTATACTCTAAGCCAGGGGTTCTCAAACTGGGGGTCAGGACCCCTCAGGGGGTCGCGAGGTTATTACATGGGGGGGTCGCAGGCTGTCAGCCTCCACCCCAAACCCAGCTTTGCCTCCAGCATTTATAATGTTGTTAAATGTATTAAAAAGTGTTTTTAATTTATAAGGGAGGGATCGCATTCAGAGGCTTGCTATGTGAAAGGGGTCACCAGTACAGAAGTTTGAGAACCACTGCTCTAAATGATATAAAAAGGCAAGTAATCTGAGCCACTTCTGGTTGAACTTCAATATCTTGTCACAATGCTAACCTTTAGTGAGTTGTATTCTAGCT